GGATTAGAGGTGGGGTCTAGAGGAAGTCCGAATAGGGCGGGTTGTTAAACCCTCCTAAGCCCCGTATAATATCCCCCAAAACCCTATTCCAATCATCAAGACCCTTACAGTAACCCCGAGAAACCCCAAACCTGTTCCAGCTCATGAGCCCTACCGATACTCCCAAAACCCGTAAACCCTCAACCCTGAACCCGAAGCCCCTAGGCTCCAAACTAAACCCTCAGCCCTGAAACCCTAAACCCTAAACCCTAAACCCTAAATCCTAAACTCAACCCCTGAACCCTGAACTCCACGCCCCTAAACCCCCAAACCCCCAAACCAAAAAAAACCCTAAACCGTAAGCCTTCAACCCTTGAGCCCCCAACCCCTAAACTCCCTAAGCCCAGCAAGCTCGAACTCGCTAGGTCCAAGCACCCAATAAGCATATACTCTCCAAATAGTAACCTACAAAACTACTATCCTAAACCCAAGTACCTTATTATTGGGTCCTTTGGACAATTAGGGCTGGTGGAGCCCCCCTCTGAATCGTCCAACTACGCAGCTGAAGCACCGGAGAAAGAGTAGGCCAGACAAGGAAGGTGGGTTGGGTGTTTAGGGCTTAGGGTTTAGTGTTTAGGGTGGGGGGTTCAGGGTTTAGGGTTTAGGGTTGGAGGTATGGGGTCTAGGGTTTAGGGTTGGAGGTTTAGGGTTTAGGCTTTAGGGTTTAGGGTTGGGGGTTTAGGGTTTAATGCAGGCCTTTGGGGCATTTTGCATAAACCCAAACCCCTAGACACCGCTAAACCTATCATGAAACCGAATCAGACCCTGCAAGCCCCAAAACCCTATAAACCCTTATCGATCGCTTCAAGGATCCCTTCAATGAGCCCTAGGGTCTAGGGTTTATTAGGGGGGGGGTTTGGTTTAGGAACCCCCAAACCACGACACTCAGCAGAACAGAGTCACCTCTTCCCACTGCTTGGCTGCTTTGGCAGAGTAGCGGCAACGAAACATCCTGAAGATTGAAAGTGGCGAGATTGCTCCGAGCATGTCGTAGTGAACCTAGTGTGGAAGAGCGGCAAGTTGTCCAGGTTCTGCAAGAATTCTCGCCTTTGCAGAAGGAGAAAGTGATATCCACTCCAAGCTTTTGATCCTGAGGCTGGCGCTGTCCCAGGCAGAAACAAGGAAGGCTGGAAGTACACATCTTGGGGGCGCTGCTCTCGAAGAGAAGCTACATTTGACGGCTTAAGCGAGGCAGTTGGCTTCTTGTGTCAGGCCCAAAAGCAGAACGAATTGCTGAGACAGGAGGCTGTGCTTCTTGTAGAGCACGCGAAGTTGCTGTTCTCGAAAAACTGCAACAGGGAGGAATCGCGGGGTGAAGCAACAACTGTCGGCACATGTCCACTATGCGTTTTCCCCCTTACTGGGCCTGAGAGGATCCCGTTTACGAACATGTTTCAGAGAGTCTTTCAACTTCATTGGCCGACCCTAAACCCTAACCCCTAACCCCTAAACCCTAAACCCTAAACCCCTAAACCCTAAACCCTGAACCCAAAGCCCCTAAACCCTAAGCCCCTAAACCCTAAACCCGACGAAGGTTGCAGCAACTCCGAAGTCTGTGCTTTCTGCCATCAACACAAAGAACTCCCATTTTCCTACTCTTAATGATATAAATCCCGAGGGTCCAAAGGACCCAATAATCAGGTACTTAAGTTTCGGATAGTAGTTATGTAGGTTACTATTTGGGAGAGTATATGATGATTAGGTACTTGGACCCTTGGGGTAAATCCTGCATCACTGTTAAGGACCCTTAACCATGGGAAGGATGGAAGATTCCTTATTATGGGTGATGCAGGATTTATATCATCAACCGTAGTTCCCCAATACCCAACCTTTAAGTTTTTGGGATTCTTATATTTCAGTAGTAATCTGAAGGTTTAACCTTTTATTTCCCTGGCTTCTTAGGCAAGTAAGATAGACCGCGGCACAAGCTTGGCAGCAGGATGACTCGCGACAGGCCTTAAAACCGTTGAGGGTTTAGGGTTTAGGAGCAGAAGCTTCTGTCAAAGCGCAATAACCCGCTTTGTATCCCCGGCCGCATTGCTGCCGCCTAGAAATAACAAATCCTTGTAAGAACCGTATAGCGGTTTTCCATTGAGGGCTTCGTAATGCAAAATACAATATAACAATTATTATGCAACCTGTTATCTGATAGCAGCTGTCATATAATACGCCAAGCCCCTAATCGAATTTTGAGCTGCAGTGCTACATTGCCCTGTGTGTATGCGTCAGGACTGTCTCGGCAAGCGCAACGTGCTGGCGAGCCAGGTGGCTTTTGCTAGAGTCTGGAGTTTTATTTTGGGGCTTTCGAATAGGGTGCTGGCCATAACTTGGGGACCTAAACCCTTAACCCTAAACCCTAAAGCCTCAAAACCCTAAACCCTGAAACCTATTTAGGCTTTGGATTTGCCGCGAGGTTGGGATTTGAGGTTTCGGCTTGGGGGTTGATGGTGTGGGGTGTGGCGAGGAGCTTTTGGGGTGTTAGGGTTTAAGGCTTAGCCGCTTTGGGTTTAGGTTCAGGGTTTAGGGGTTTAGGGGTTTTTGGGGGTTTAGG